GGAGAGAGAGAGAGAGAGTGAGCGAGCGAGAGAGCGAGAAAGAGAGGGAGAGAGAGAAAGAATATACAGAAAGCGAGAGCCTTCCTGCATACAAGTTTATCTTCTTTTTCTCGATCCACGTAGCGTGTTCTCAGTGCTCGTTTTGTAGCTTTCGGTTATATATACGTGTTGTATACTTAACAGAGTTCGCGAATAACAGGGATATATTATTGTATGTGCTTATGCAAAATTTGAGAAAATTGTATTGCGGAATACACATGATATCCAAAGTATGCGTTATAATAATATTGCTGACGAAGAATAGTAAAGCTTCAAATTTAAGCTTCTTTTTTTTTTTTGAATTTAATTGATATTCATAAAAATTTAATTTTATTATAAAAAAATCCTTGTTTCTTCTGTTGAAAGAAACAAGATTTGTTAAATTGAAGTTGATTGCAAATAAAAGTTAGAAATAACGAATCGATAGAGGTATTGAACGTATCCCTGATATTTATTGAAACTCTGTACTACAAACATACCTTCACAGAACGACTCGATCACGATGCTTGTATCCTATTTGCTGCTATTCCGTGCCGCTTTTTAATTTAATACTTTACTTACTACATAATATTAACATAAAACAATAATTGTACAATGTACTGTAGCAGCAAGTTGGATATTTATAAGAAAGATCCACTATTCTCTATGTACAATGTACTGAAACAATTCATACATATATATATTTTTCAACAAATATAATTATGCCAAATTAATCGAAACAATATTATCAACGAGCATTTTTTCTTCTGTATTCTTAATTTTTACATTTTCTTTTTTTTTTTTTTCTATATAGAGATATGCTTATACATCATCTTCGCACAATTAAATCGATATTTATTCTTTTTTTTTTAAAATCATATTCGCGTAAATTTGAAAAGAATATTGCCGAATATTGCAGAAATGTTGCAAAAGTATCGTAACGTGTACATGTAACATAGACTATAGTGCGATGTTTGTAATGACACGTAGTAGCATATGACTATGTCATATTAATTTTACTTCCTTTTGTTTTCGTTATTTACACACATCGTGCATCGTGGCAAAAAAATATGTATTTTTTTTTTCTTTGTAAAATTAATTTTTTTTTTTTTGTACATTTTTATTTCCCAAATTAAATCATATTTGCGTTGCGTTGCGTCACTTACATTTCTTTTGTCTGTGAACCAGCATTTCGATCTCGTTCATTTGAATTACAATCGTTCCGGTACGGTTACACGCCGCACGTGAATAATTCCGGCAATAAATATTTAGAACGCTTGCATTATCATAAAATCGATAATTAATGTTGCAGCGCATCATACGCATGATCTGTCATTAATTAGCTCAATGTTCATACGTTGTTGTCATCACGATCATAAATACAGGACGCATCGGTCAAGATACGTTTAACAAAAATTACAGATGTTTTAAACCTTATGGGAATTGTGTAGCAACGATTAATGAAAGAAAAAAATATGAAGTCCCCCTTCTACGATCTCCAGATAGCACTCCAGATAGATATCTTTCAAACGTTTTATGATACAAAATATCTTTTCAATTTTTAATAATCATTGAAATGAAGAAAATAATCGTCTCTTAATATATTTTTAAGTCGAAATTCATATCGTGAAACCTTGAGTTATATCATCGCAATAGCGACAAATAAAAATTGCTGAATATTATAACCATCATCTTATGTAACATTTGTAAGTTTTAAAATTTTTCAATATTTTATAAACTCAATTTCATCGATTATATATATTTCATTTTCAAATACTGTTACTTTAAAATAACAATATATTTATCAAAAATGAGTTAGCATTATCGATGCTTAATATTTGATCTAAAAACACGTAAGAATATTTAGATTGATCGAACAATCGATATCAAAAAAAAAGAAAAATTAAGAAAAAATCTTGTACTATCTGGGATCTGTTATCAACACCGCCCACAATATAAATCGCAATAGTTTTTTCCTTAATTCGCATAGTCTGTATGCTACGTACCAAAGCATCGTGTGATTCATCTTCTTAATATTATATATGAGATCCGAAATATCATATCATCAAAGAAACAAAATCTCGAGTGAAAGATCATCAGATCATTGGTTTAACGCGATCGTTCGATTTACATTGCAGAGTTTTCAACAAAGTGAAAAGCAGAAGCGCACACATGAAATCCCACAGGCCGGTACCCTCGCCCGATTCAACGGGGCAGGAATCTAAGAGGCCTGTCCAACAGCAATCCAAGACGCAACAGTCCCAACAATCCATCCAGCAACAGCGTCAGCAACCGCAACAACAACAGCAACAACAAGCGAGCAGCGTTTCGTCACAGGCCCAAGATTTCAATCAGCAGCAACTGCCTCCCAGCAATGGCGACACCGGCGCTCAGAACCCAGCGCATTTATGGCACAATCCGACACGGTTCAGGCCGCCATAGGACGATGCCCAGCCGGTTCAACTAAAGTTACCTTAACGAAGGCTGTAACGGTACGGTAGGAAAGTATTTTACGGTCGCGCGATAACTACGTAAATAGACAGGCACTACTACTAAAAATATAGAATAGAAAAGGGGAAATGAATGAGAAACGAATAAACTCACGGATCGTCGAAAAGGATCGCCGATGGAGGAAAAATCAGTTAACAGAATCGAGAATTGTCGTCCATCGTTAGAGCCGAGCTAGATCAAGCTGATGTCCTCCTGCGCAGGCGAAACAATTTTAGACGAGGCAAAGGTAGAAACGGACACTTCCACGATAGATAATAATAGTAGCTCCGAGGAAAGATGAAAGACGAAGAGGAGAAGGGAAGGGAAGAGTAACAGGAAGGAAAAAAAAAAAACGAAGAATACCTCTTATACACGCACCATGGACCTGAGCGAAGCGAAATCCCGCGTGTTCTCTGCCAGGCCAGCCATACACCATAAATTAAATACCTATGCGATCATACGTGTAGAAACGCGTGCGTCGAGAGATGAAGCCCGCCGAGGTACCTCTATCGTCGTTATTAAAAGCGAGGCAAGCACAGAATCGGATCTAGCTTCTTCTTTTTCTTACTTTTCTTTTTCTCTCTCTCTCGAAAAAACGTAACACACGGGATCGAGGCGAAACGGGGATAGAGGTTCCTCGAGGGCGTTGCACTTCGCAGCCGTAGTCGAAGCTCTGTTCAACGAGGAGACAGGGTAACGGAAGTCCTTCTAATTCGCGTTGAAAAACGTGTGAATGGACGTCGCGACGGCCACCGATCGAAATCGATCGATTGGATTGTCGTTGGGATAATAATCGAACGTGCAAGTTTTCCGTCTATTTCTTTTTTTTTTTTTTTTTTTCAATTTCACTTTCGATCGACGATAGGATATCGTGATAATTCGATGAAATACCCAAATATTCTTGCGCGAACGTCAATATACATCGGATGATGTTTGTTTTTCAAGTCTTTTTCTTTTTTTTTTTTTTTTTTTTCGACTAGTAAGTAATTAACTGGGGCTAAAAGTTCATTGGACAAGTTGAATGGGGGAATTGGTCACGATTATTCGTGGTTTTCGATGTGTACCTATTATGACTATATATATATATATATATATATATATATGCACGT